ACAAACGCGGGCATTGGAGCTGCTGAGCTACGCAACGCCCACGCCGAGGGAGTCCAGAGAGTCGTGCATTGGAGATGGCAAAAATATTGGCGATATATGAGTAAAACTATCGATTGTGTACTGGGAAATATTCTACTTTTTATGCTGTATCTGTAGGAACTATGATTATTTGTTAAAATATACGATATAAATCCCCTCATCTCTAAATTATGCATTGCTTTTAGGTTACTGAAACAATTTGGCATTGACATTCCTTAAAGCCGAAGAGGCGCCGCCCCAAAAGGTATTTCGTTTGCTGACAAAAAGGCATTTTAATTGTGAGAACTCTGTGCCAAATCGCTGAGATGGCATGCCGCATAAGCAAATAGCTGCAAATGTTGCATTGCCAACATGTATACGTATTTATATATATTTTGTTTACCGATTTGGCAGCTGATATAAAACAGTTACACTCGGAGAAATGCCGCCTTGGCGATCGATCTCTCCGCCTGTCTGACTGCGTTTGGCGCCAAAGAATCTTGCCACCACCCACGGGCTTCAAGACGCAAATCGATGCCAACTTCGTTTTTGGACTGTTCGAACTGCGAATGCTAATCAAGATGCCGCTCTGTCGACTGGTTAAAGTTTTTAAGGCACTCAGAGAAATGTTAAGCCATTCAAAATATAATAAAAAAATATTTAAAATCATAATTAAATGACTTTAAATTACTATACTTGTATTCTGGCTAGATTGAAACCTTTTGAAATGGTTTAAATCGCTTTTCATACGTTATTTTTTTTAGTAAATTGCAATATTTCTTTGAGTGTCCCCTTCGATTATGCAAAAACTCGGAGCTCAATCGACCCTCTTGGTCTTCGATCTCCGATTCTCCTCCGGTCGGCTTCAGCTTCATGTGTGTTTTGAGATCTCCGGCCTTATTCGCTGCGGGGGCTGGCGTTTGCTTTTGTTGTGCCTGCTCTTGGTGCCTGGGTGATGCCCAAATAATAGCACATAAAACTATAATAGTAATTTCCAAACGGCGGAGAAAGAGCGATGCAATCGCTGTTCCCAGCTCCAGCTCCAGCTCCAGTCCAGTCCGTGGCCAGCTGTGCGGGCTTAGTCATAGAAAGGCTGACCACACAGTGAGATCGAGCTCGATCGAACTCGGAACCTCCAGCTTGGGCGATGAGCTGGATATCGAATGTTTGGCACTGGACTCCGACTGGACTTTTATTTATGGCCAGTCAATGCCACAAGCTCCGGGCCTCGAGCCGCGAAATGAAAAGAAACCAAAGCAAACACTTTCATTTTTCAAACTACGCTCATGAAATAAAAAAGCGAAAAATGTTTTAATTTTTTTTCGCGAATCCCTCAACCTCACCCCAATGATGCTAATTTATTTGGCAGAGTCCCCAAGCCAGGTTCAAGTTCGTGGATTTTGTGGCTTTTCGGTTTGGTTTCAGTTTCAGGTGTAAATTAAATACAAATACACTTCCTTCGGGCCCAGGCTCCACACGCGACAGACAGATCCGACTTCATTAGAACGAGGGGCCTTGGAATGCCGCAATCCTCGAGATCATTTAAATAGCTATAAATTAATAAGCATCCATTAATTTGGCGCGAGGGCGTTGCGCATAAATTTTGTGATTTTTTCGGGATATATATCCGATGACCGCAGAGGAGGGTCCTTGGTCCAAAGTCAGACAAATTATGTGGTTTGCAACACACGCGCCATAAATTTGTCACTTATGAAACAGGCAGCCACAAAAAAGATATAACAAGAGGAGAATCTTGGGGAGGTAAGCGGATCAGGAACACTTTAAGAGGTTCAAATATGCATATATAATGACCAGAGGTGATCAGGCTTTCAAGCTCATTATAACAGCTGCTTAAGAGAAAAATCTTTTAGTAATTATAATTAGTTAAGTAATTTAAACTGGAACAACCTAGAGTTATCGTTGCCATGGGTTCCATTTAGTAATTTAAACTGGAACAACCTAGAGTTATCCTTGCCATGGGTTCCATTTAGCTGACAAATTGAGGACTTCAAACTTAATAACTGCCATCGAGTAAGAGATGATGACACTCTGCAGGCCTAAAGACAAACTTGAGTTGACATTTAAGGAGTTGACAACAGCGGGAAGTCTCTAAACAAAAGGCCAGCAAAACCAGAAGTGAAGAATCAAGACTTGAAACCTCTCTTAAGCCGCACAACACTCCATCTTAGACCAAAGTTGGCGCCATGGAAAAGCCTTAAACCCGCAGTTTTTGCTGCAGGTGTCAAGCTGTGCGTGTGCCGCCATAAAAAAACACCTAGCCAAGTTAAATAAAAATAAAAATAAATACAAATATAGTAAAATAGCTGACTTTGGCATACGCATTCATGTTGTTCCCACGAGCTTAAGACTGCATGTAATTAGAACAATTAAGTCGAATGCCATGGCAAATGCAATCTCTTCAAGAGATAAGCCACTGGCCCAGACTCTGTCTGAAATTCAAAACCCAAAAACTTTAACTCCAACTCCGAACTTGGAGATATACTTTTTGAGATGCCAACGACGTTTCGTCATGGCAAAACCGATTCAGTACCGAACCGATCCGCAGCTTAATTTGCATAATTGCTGCGTAAATATTGATATTTGAATTTTGATATTGACCGGACCGCGCAAGATATCTCCCTCCCCAAAAGAGACCAGAATATGTCAGTCGTTTGCCGCTGTCGCTTGTTTGCATTGCCCAATCGACTGTCAATAATTTCACATATTAAATATTGAATAAAACGAGGCGTTTAATCAAATGGCAGCCCCAGCTGTGTCGCGTCAATTTTCAACTCGATTCCCACGCTCCAATGTCCGATGTTCCGATAGCAATACTATATATTACTTTGAGGTGCGTATGAAGAGACCTCTAAAAAACGGGAGCTGACAATAAAGATATCACTCGCTCTCAGACAGATCTGAGTCAGCGTTAGGGTAAGGGTTTCATTTTGTTGTATTTCCCCGATATTAATAAGGTTTTTTGGATTTTGGAAGTATAGAAATAGATTGGGAGATGGTAGAGACAAATTAGGCATTGGTTTAAAGGGAATTTAGTTGCTTAAGAGTATATACAAAAGAAAGGAAACTAATTTCGGAAAGCTGTAGTCTAAATACCCTTGAAGTTTCGAAATAAATTATTAGATCATATCGAAATCTATCATAACTAAGCTTAACATATACGCCTTCTTTGAATCGATAATTATCAACATTTTTATATGACAATTTGTTCGACAAATCAAAGTTTTAAATTCTCATAACTAAGCCAAAATTGCATTAATTTTGATTCGGAAAGCATTTCTGTGCTAGTTTTTATAGCGCTAACAAATCTGCATACTGCGTTTTATGATTTAAAATATTCAATTTTTTCTCGAATTTTTGACAATTTTAACGATGTAACCCCTTATAAAATTTCGAAAAAAAATTTGTAAAATTTCTTCTGCCGAAGATGGCTAGATCGATTCGGCTGTTCATGCATCAAGAATATATATGATTTATAGGGTCGGAAATGACTCCTTCACATGGTTACAAGCTTCTGAATACCCTGTAAAGGTATTAAATAAAGCTCATTACTGGGGAATATATTTTATTTTAAATAACAAAGAAGCTGACTTCAAAGATAAAAAGAAACTTCTTGTAGTATATTAAATTCAGAATTTTCTTAGCCATAAAACGAAAGCAAATATTATAATCATTTTCTTATTCTACTTCTGTATTCCGTCTTCTGGTTTTGTTATATTTTTACGATCATTATTATAGTTCTTTGACTTAAAAAATGATCAACTTCCTCCTGTTTTCTATCTCCCCTGTAAGTGTCTGTTTTCTGTAACTATAACTGGAAATTCGTTTAGTAAGAAGCTCTTAATGCTGTCCCGCTTAACAACTAAAAAAAAGGAGTAGTTTTAAGCCTGAGAGCGTTGTTGCAGCAACGGCAGCCAAGTAACTCAAGTGGTAGCTGCTGCTGCTGCTGCTTGTGGCAGGCACATGTCCAGCGCCTTGTTCGGGGCAACCGAAAAACACAACGTGTAAATTATGCTCTAACACAATTAGCCACTTTAGAAGTGGCCTGAACATTGCTGGCCTCCTTCTTCTACAGTGTCCCCTGTCTTTTTTTCTTCTTATATATTTTTTCTCCTTTTGCCTGATTTTTGTTTTATATTTATATGTTTTTTTTTGGGGGCGGTGGGTTATTTGCCACTTACATGAGCCCCTGCTAGACATTTTGCAACATGAAACTTTGCGGGCAAAAATTTGTTGCATTCGCCTAATTAAAAACTAAAAAAAAGAGAAAAATAAATGCCTCAAAACAGGATGCTACTACATACTACTGAGGAGGAGGAGGAGGCTGTGACTGCCTCGTGTGCTGCTGCTGCCGACTAAAATTAAATCAAGCAAATTACTTTTATCTCTGGCACGCATCTCAAAACGCAAAAGCTGAGGCAAAAGCAAAAGCCTAAGCCGCAAAGCCCCCCGTCCCGAGCTGCACTGCATAAATTAAAGCCAACTGCCGGCTAAGTGGCGGGCTTTTATTATTAAGCCCGCTGAGTCGCATTCAGAGACGGAGTCGCTACAGGCCAAGCTGTGCAGCTGATCGATAGCTGTCTATCTGGAACTCAAAAAAGAAAAAAGGAAAAGACTAAGAGTCCGGAGCAGGAGTTGCAGTTGAAGCAAAGACTTTACTTGTCTTTTTGTCACACAACTCAGGGAATTCATCATACGCACTGTGGGACAAGCCACAGAGATTTGTGAGTACATTTGGTTGAGAAATTATTTAGTTTGTTATATAAATTTAATAATATGAAAGGTAAAATTATACCTTAATTAATTATTAAACTTTACATGAAGTCGGAAATTGTTTAATTTCCTTTTTAAACATTTAATTTAAGTTTTTCAACCAAGTTACTTAAAGTTTACTTGGTTAAAATACTCTTAAAACTAATATATGTATACATATATTCATAATTTTTTATTTTATCCATTAATTTGTAGCTTTTAATTCCAAAATAAAATAAATACAATCAAAGAAGAGTATTTTTTTCCCATATTTAAACCTTTTCTGTTTCAACCATGTTTCTGTACCGCACTTTCCTCTTCTACTGTTGGCGGCATTATCATTGCATCACCTATAGCATCCTTTTCCCCCTCACCTGTCGTTGGCAAGTTCAAAGGAAGCTTCAATTGGCGCAAGAAACAGGCAAAGTTCACTACACGACCCAAATTCAGGTATGGAATCTTTGGACATAGCTCAAAGGCAAGATTCACGGGCACCATGTTGCAACCCTTGCCGCAGGAAACGTCTATAAAGTTCATTAGATCGCAAACCTCCAGATCATCGCACTCATTGCGATTCAGTATCGATATAATATTGTCAATAAGTTCCAAGGAGAACGGCAAACGACAACCCCTTAGAGCCGATCGCACCTTGTGCTCTGGCATAAATGGTTGATTCATGGGATTAATGTGATGGAAGTGCTCCATTAGATCCTCTCGGGCATTCCAAAGTGAACGTTTAATCTCCAGATGAGCTGCTGCCTGAACTTCGGCCCTCTTGCAGGCATTGGGCGGAGCTCTCTCAGCCGAAAAGTGGCGACAAAGAGTAATGACTTCGTGATCACTGATCGTATTTCCCATTATGGCAATCAATGCTCCCTTAAAGCTCTCATAGCCAATGAATACATCCTCCTTCTTCTCCAAATCAGTGCAATCCGGCACACAATTTCCAACAAACTCGGTCATTCGATCCTGCAAGGCAGTGCGAACCTTATCCATGATAATTGGAACATTTGCACGATGATACTGATCCGGATGGTGTTCCATAAACATTAGCGTATACTCATCTGCAGAGACTACATGGAAGATAAAGTCACTCAGCATTATGGTGGATCCAATGAAGAAATTCCATGGCATATAATACTGTGGCTCCTTGCACGAGAATCTCTCCTGGCCGGGCAACTCGAGTCGGGTTCGTCTCAGGAACTGACCACCCATGAATCCCGAGTTCCGTACAGCTATCTCCTGGATTTGCAACGTATCGTCACTCAAATAGTAACTGATTACAAATATCCTCTCACAGTTCGCTTTGATGGTTGAAAGCATTTTGGCGCCGAATCGAAGGACATAGCGATCGTATTTGATGAACTTCTTAAAGTCCGATCTGGGTGGCTTTGGCTCTACGGATATGCAATTCCCTACGGAATCCTCGTAGCTTCCCCAGCCATTGAAGGGCGGCAACTGGCGTTCACCCGATTTTATCTCCGCACAATCATCGGATCTGGTGGGAATGGGTAGCGGTGTAAAGTCATGAATGCCATAACGTTCTCGATAATATTGCTGCGTGTAAGGATCCAATTCGGTTATGACCACCGCTCTTCCGTACACATTAATTACGCTTCCAATTTGCAAATCACGATCTGTATAGTATAGTATCTCCTTATTGCCCGTATTCAAGGGATCCACGCAATAGCGTACATTGCGCATATTAGTGCCCAGAACATTGAGCAAAGTCTGTGGTGTTGTCTGTCCCGGCAGCGGTAATCCATCGAATTCCTAGGATTTTAAAGAAGAGTTAATAAATCATTTAATTTCGGAGATATTTTATGCTACTTACTCTTGCCAATCGGTTACGTTTCAGAAATACCGTGGGCCCATCTCGACCAGAATTACGAACATGAGCCTCCTTGACTTCTATCGTATCATCAGCCAGATAATAACACAATTCCAGCTTTCGTACATCCCCAAATTCGGTTCGATCATCCCAATATCCTTGAAATTTTAAAATCTGCCGATCGTATTTGAGAAATTGTGCAAACGGATGGCATTTTGGTGCCGAGATATGGGTCTGGGTTTTATCACGATTCCGCATGGTCTCCGTGGGATCACTAATCACAAAACAAAACCAGTTAAAATACATCTTATAATATAATATAAAAGTAATTCTTACCATGGCGACTGGACTGGATCGGGCACCGTGATACCACGCTTGTTTAGAAAATGTCTGGTAAACAAATCACAATCCGTGATGTGATATTGCCTATCGAATATTTGCACGGTCATATCGACATTTAGATCGATCAAAGACATAAATTCATTATCACACGGTGGTGCCTTGGGCACTCGCTGTCGATGCACTAAGCTACCCTGCACAATTCCCGAATTATCCACCCTCGGCTCAAAGATCTCTATGGTACCATCCTCTAAATAATAGTAAATCTTAACCTTGCGCACCAGATAGGGAGCATGAAAGACTTCCTGGAGTGTCTGCTTAAAGTAACCCCGAAAGCAGAGCACCTTTTTGTCATACGCCAGCCAAGGCGGCATCCGGGGACCCGAACGTGGCGGATAGATGGAAGCTGCTCCAACGGGCGGGCAGCTTATGTCCACCGCCATGCCGCTCGAGTCCACAGGAGCCGGCTGCTGGCGATCATTTAGCATACTAAGACCATGGAAATTCATCAAGGACTGCGGCCTAGGATGATGAGTCTTGGCCACCTAATTACAAAGATATTATTTAATATTTATTATATTGTAAATAGTAAAAAGAACTTACATCGCGAAAGAGTGTGCCCGGCAGCAGGGGCATTCCAGGAATACGCAGCATGTTGAAGTTTTTTATATATATCAAGTGTTTTATTGGTTCAAAAAAAAGTATATGCTTTCTATAGAGTATTATGTTTACCAAATTAAATACTGACTTGAGATATATCTCGCCTACTAATATTTATTTAATATTATTTATATTTTGCTGTAGGTAACTTCTCACAAGTTCCACTGTTTTGCCTGGTCTCCTTGGGTATATCTCTGGGACTATATCAACATATGTGTATATGGCTATCCACGACACTTTGTCAGTGGGGAGCTCTGCATCTGAAGCCAAGACTTTGGCTGAAGGAGTGATGGCGATTGCTCGCCGGCTGTCAAATTAGTGGCAAGGCGATTGAAAAGTGAAAAGCGAGCAGCGAGTTGCGGTGGTAATTGCAGCTCTTTGCCTTTAGCTCTATGACACGCCCTCTCACATGCCGCCCCCTTTTCCGGGCCAAGATATATGTATATATATATAGAGAGAGAAAGAGATTCGTCACAGCTGTGTGTCGACAATTTTGAAATTCATGCGATCTCTGGCCGATCCGATGGTCGATTGTCGACGTAATCGCATGCAGCAAACGAGTTTCGAGAATTTATTTTTATCATTTTTTTCCCTGCTCCTTCGAAGCCTTTGTTTTGTTGCAGCGGCTATATATATTTATGGCATATTGATTAAGTTATTAACATTTTATTAAGGCATTTTTTCAGAGAGCCGTCGGCTGTGGAGCAGCCACCAAAACAGATTTTTAATTGCAGTGTTGGGGGGAGAAAAAAGTCATATTGAAATTGTTGAAATGATTGCGGCGACATTGTTGCAATCTCAACACTAAATGCCGGGAATGCACTTAATTTAACTCAATTTGTACGCCAGCTAATTGCAGTTTACTGTTTATATTAATGCTCTAGTATTTATTTGCTTATTTATATATTTATTTATTTTATTTTATTCGCAATCATGTCGCGCGTCATTATCCCAGGCAAATTTCTAATTTATGTTGTGTGTTAAAATGTCGGGCACACCAAAAATAAAAACAAAAAAGTGACAAGGAAAATGTCAAATTGCTGCTGACAAGACCCACTCTCTGGACAATGGATATTGGATTGTACTATAAGTCTATATGTTCTGGCATAGGGGGTCTATCTGGTGTCTGGCATCACCATTATATAAATCATTTGAAATGCCAGTTTTTTAATAGGGCCGCAGACACCTCGACACTTTGGACATGGCCAACACGTCGCAGCTTTAAGCCTGGTCCCAGCTGCCGGCTTACGCTCCCCCCTTTGTCTCTATACTATATATATAGCTGATCCGGTACTTATCGCTGAGATGTCAATCATGGCAAATCGTTAGATCACGAAATCAAAACATTTTGCCACTGGCACTTTCACTGTGCTATAAACTGATTATTTAATAAGAGAACTAAAAGATATTGGCAACCCTTATATTTTGAAACACACAAAGACCCTTCCATCAGATCAATTGGGTTATACGTCTAAATCAAAATCATTAAATTCCCAAGCTAGCTTCATATATCGATTCTTGCCGGACTTCGGGAGATCCTTGTACATCTTTTTCCCGCTCTCGATAATGGACCAAGGCGAAAGTCCATTGAGAGCCGCAGACTCTTCGAGAAACATATAGAGCTCCTCTAGGAACAGCATCTCAGCCGAGACTAGCATGTATTCCGAATTCTTAAATCTCTTTCTAAAGGATTTTATGATCTGCTCATTGCTATAGAAACCGATGTAGGCCATCGCTTAGAAGAGGTTAATTTATTTGAAATTTTCAAGATTTTATACGGATGAAATTTCTTTCTGGAAGTTTTGACTGACTAACACATTCGAGAAATAGCTCAAGGCAACTGATCTGGAAACCAGAACAGCTGAGAAGTCTAAGTTATGGCCTACTACATTGCTTAGAAAGGGGTTTTCTAAGGATTAAATTAATTAAGAATTAATTTCCTTGCAGGATTTTCCACAAACACAAATCAATTGAGCTAAAAATCAAACATATTTCGATGACAGCTGCTGAAATGTCTGGGCCACGGCCTACTACGAGGCATGACATTTTCGGAGGGGCTACGAGACGCGAACCTAATTGGCCGCAATCCAAAGCCAAACCTAATGAAAAGCCCACACTGAGCTATGTAAATCGATTTGTCATACGAGCAGAGCTCAAAAATCCAATGACTGGCTTCTTCAAAGGCAGCAAAGAAGTCGAATATCGACTACTTAGATACTCTTTGCTTTTAAATGTTGCTCAATGTGCTATTTACAATTAATTAGAGTTATAAATAAGGATCATGAAAACCATTTATAATGTTTTAATTAATATTTATTATTATATCCCCAAAAGAACATTCAACTCATGTACTTTTCTCTCTTTCCAAGGTATTTAAATAAAAACGAAACTCAAATGAAAATGAAAATAAGTGTGAGGAGCAGTTGAAACACGCTTGTAGGTCGTCAAAGGTCCTGCCGTGAATTGTCATTGTCGTGAGTTGCATAATGCCGCACAAAATCGACACAACAATGCAGCAGCAGCAGCAGCAACAGCAGCAACTTGCAACCTCTGGCAGCAGCTAGCAGCAAAAATCGATGGCAAAAAAAGCCGTCTTAACCTGGGCCCAATTCTCGAGCTTGCCTCATTCCTTTCTGGCCAATTTCAAAGCAATTTCCAAGCCCAGCTTCCACTGAGGCATCAGTCGTAAATCAAACACGCCACACAACCAGCAAACCAGCAACTAGCAACTAGCAACACCAAGATCAGGCGGCAGCAGCAACATTTCAACACCTTCGCTCTTGGGACCTTGACTTCTTCTGCTTGAAATCGAAATCCGAATCCAAATCCAAGTTCCCCCCTAAATCCAAATCAGTAGCAAATGCAGTGAAAAGCAGCCAGGCAGCAGTCTGCTGCTAATTTGGCTTATTTTCGTTTTTTTTTTTTTAAGACAATTTGTGCGCGCCTGGCCTAAAGTGCAAATTTTAAGATTCTGCCGAGTGGCTGGCCGTGCAATATAATTAAGTTTCTGCTGGCTTAGACCTTGGCTTGTGCGATTCTGATAAAATTGGCCAAAAACAGCAACAAAAGGAAAAACCTTAAACAAAAACAAAGCAGAGCCGAAAGAGGGACGCCGCAAAACATGCCATTGACTGGTAGCTGATTTTGTCTGTCAGGGCAATGCCAAGAAAGCCAAATTAAAATTCAAAACTCGTGACTTATTTAATTATAATGAGTTTAGATTAGAACGGGAGTCGGTCGGCACAAATGGCACAAAGTAAATCACATTGAGAAGGGGGTTTATTTTTATTATTTTCCTTTTATTCTTGATATTTTTGTTTTTGTTCAGGAGTTATATGGCCACATACATTGTACTGCAAGTCGTTATGATAGCCATCGACAAAATGGTAATTTGTTCGAAAATTCGGTTAAAAGTCGTTGCTCCAGAGAGAGAAAATTTTTTGAGGAGATTTTAGGTCAAATTATATGTTAAACAACGAAGGAAGTCAACGCTTATATACCTTTACAATTTGGCATTGAATTATAGGATCGATCGGAAATCGAACATTAATAAGCTTTAAAGTTTAATTTAATATTAGGTAATGGGGCCAATTATGGCCATAGGGGAATTAATTGGAAAATAAATGCAAAGCTAGCACAGTTGATAATAAAGGTAGGCCTGATCCCTCTTATAGCATCTTTATACATGGTTTATTTGTCATGCTTATGACTTTCAGCAATAGAGGAAGTGTCGAGGGTTAATTACTATCACTAGCACTTTCACCAAAGATGTTTACACTGCGGAGGCCGCGGACAGAATGAGGTCAGCGCGAGTGAAGTGCCTCTATTTATAGTCCCGGAGCAAAGAGAACGGAGAAAGTGAGAGCGAGAGAGTAAGAGCTATCTCTAGAGAACTAGCACAGCTGATAATAGAACTAGGCCTGATCCCTCTTATAGCATCTTTATACATGGTTTATTTGTTATACTTAGAACTTTCAGCAATAGAGGAAGTGTCGAGGGTTAATCACTATCACTAGCACTTTCACTAAAGATGTTTACACTGCGGAGGCCGCGGACAGAATGAGGTCCGCGCGAGTGAAGTTCCTCTATTTATAGTCCCGGAGCAAAGAGAACAGAGAAAGTGAGAGCGAGAGAGTAAGAGCTATCTCTAGAGAATAGCAGAGAGGGATAGAGAGAGTGGGGTATGTCCAGAGGCCACTACAGGTACCTCTGTCTCTCTCGCTCACACTTTCTCTGCTCTTCTCTTCACTGCTGATGAGTTACTGATGATTAGAAAGAGATGTAAATAAAAGCCTGCTCTTCCCTTAAACAACATCCTAGAGTGTTTTAAGGTCCCTTTCCAATTTATAATAATTTCTACAAATATTTTATAGATTAAATTATTAAATTAAATAACTCCTTACTCTTTTCTCTCCCTGCATTAACTTTATACTCGCAACTGACCGAAATGTAAACAACATCAAAGTCTCTGGTTACATTCACCCATAAATGCTCCACTTTTCGCCATGGTGCCCAAACAATAATTGTGCAAACCCGGCTCCAACTTCAACTTCAACTCCAACTTAAAGTCCAATTGCAACTGCAATTGTCCATGTTCATTTCGAGGTCGCCGCTTGCGACATCTTCAATCAAACAAGCAACAAAATAACACACACACAACGTGCAACACCTACGTGCAACTGGCGACAAAAAGCCATAAATCCAAATCCCATTTGTCAGCATTAGAAAATTATGCAGCCAGCGCAGTACATACATACACACACCGAAATACAGGCTCAAATTCATAAATTAAATTACACGACAAGCACAATAATAATAAAAACGATTTGAGGCCCACACGCAACCGAAAAAACCAGCAACGAAACGCCAAGACCTGTGCAGAGATTCATTAAAGATTTGCCCAGCAAATAAATAATAACAAACAAAAAAATCATAATAAAGTATGGGAGAACAAGCTGCCGTCGTTTTATTTATTCGATTGTTGTAATCTGCACAGCGACATGCACAAACCAAGCCACAACAACACACACACACACACACACTCTGTGGCCAAAAGAACACAACAAATGGGAGCCCCGCAAAATTCAC